TTCCCTCTGCTCGTACTTCCAAAGAGGAAAGCCTTCCACTAGCTTCTCTTTTCTTTCTGGGGGACAATACTTCGAGGTCACTGACTACTTCTGCTGATCCAAATGCCATGTGAAACAAAGGCTAAAATCCTGTTTCTGAACTAAGCATTCCAGAAGTTAGCACAAGCAGCCAGATATGTCTCTAGGCTGTTCACAGATCTACAACAGCTCTCCACACTGAACACACTGATCACCCCGTGTCCTCCTCATCTTTTCCTAGTTTTCCCTCCTCTTCTCCCACTTTTCCAACCAGTCACCTCAAAGGTAACAGGGAGCACAGGATTTTGAATGACTTTGGAAAACTAAGTAATTATAAAAGGAATTTCCTATATTTGAATTATTTTCCCAAGTTTACTCATCTTAAATATTACTTTCTAAGCAACGGTTGCTTTTTCTTTGACATTCCAAGCATCGTTTTCTCAAAACCCAGGAGTCTAAAGCCACAGCAGACTCTCTACTCTACTCTCACGTGGAGACTCACTACAAGTAGCATAAGCAGTATATTGTGACAGGTTTGTTACAGCCAGAGCCCACTATCATCCATTTCCATATGCAAATCTGCATTATATGAGTTTGCTCAAGTTTCCAGCCACTGCATATATAAACGTGGAACAGAAATGGGACATTACAGTGTAACTTTGGAAAGCCTCGATTAAACCAACCTCCTCTTCATTCAGAAATACACAATTACTCCATTTCATGTAAAACTTGGCATACTCAAGAGGCAGAGCTCTAAAACACTCTTTGAATACACTCACAACAAATAAATGCTTCAGAATCTCTGTTTCGGTGCATTCTGCATGTAAACACCTGGAAAGCATGCCCTTATTCCAAACCATTCATAGCCAAGAACACGGATCTCGTTTTACTACAGTTCCCCTCCTCGTTTCGTAGGTCGGAGGACTCAGACACCGGCTGTGTTTCCACCACCCGTGCTGCAGGATGCCCCACACCAGACCCTGCTCGCATCCCTCGCTCTCACAGCGGAGACCACGGCACAGGGACCACGGCCACCACGTGAGGACGGAGTTTCCCGACCCGAGCGGCAGCGCCTCAAGGAGCGCTCCCCCGGCGCACGGGGCAAGGGGAGGGTGATGTGAAGGCTCCCACCAGCTCCGGGCCGCTCCCTCCGGCCGCGCCGGCAGGACCTTGGCCAGCAGCTTCCCCCCCGCCTCTCCCCGGGCCCGGCGGAGCGCGGCGCTGGCTGAGGGGCGGCGGGGGCCGGCGCGGGCAGGCCGCGGGGCGGGGCAAAGACGGGGAGCGGGGGGGGGGGGGAACGGGGCGCCATGGCGCGCGTGGCCCCGCTGACAGGGCCGGGGGGCGGGGCACCATTGAGGGGACGGGGGCGCGAGGGGACCGGGGCGACGCGTCCTTCCTCCCCCGTCCTCGCCTCTCCTCCCACCGCCGCCCCGCTCGGTACCTGCCGTAGATGCCCTCGGTGATGCGGTTCCGCTTGAGCGGCCGCCGCAGCTTGCTGCAGTCCGCGCTCCGCCGCTTCATCCTCCCGGCCGCCTGCGGCCCGGCCCGGCCGGCCCCGCCGCGCGCCCCGGCCCCGCGCTGCCCGGTCACGGCAGCACCATCCGCCCCCACGGGGGTCCCTCGCGCGGGCGCTTGTCCGGTTTTCCCTCTTTTCCCCCCTTTTTTTCCCCGCGAAACAAAGAAATAACAATAATTCCTGGTCCGACCCTCCCCGCCGCGTCCCCCGCGCAGCCGCCGCGCAGCGCCCCGCCCGCCTCTCCGCGGACCAATCCAGCGCTTCACCCCGCCGGAAAGACGGCTCGCTCCACCAATGCGCATTGAGGAAAGGGAGATGGACGGCCGGGAAGACCAATGGCGGCATCGGAAGTTAGGTCCCGCCCCGCGCTATCGAGCGGCCCGCCCACACCCCTGATTGAAGGCCTTGGAAGCCCGTGGAAGAGAAGGACCCGTGAATTGATGGCTCGTGAGCCAATCCCGGAGGGGGTTTTGTCCTCCTCCCGCCCACTGTCCTTCTGGCTGGCTCCCGCCCCGTGCTGTGATCGACAGTAAAACCGCCCAATAGGAGATACAATCAGGGATGAAAAGACAGCTCAGCCATCCAGTCGGAAGCGGAAGAAGGTGGGTTCGAGTCCCTCTGTCACCGTACGCTGAGGTGCCGCCCCTCACACTTGATTGACAACCCCGCTGGCAAATGGGCAGCTGGGAAATCCAGCTCTCAAGTGCAAAGATAACTGGGGGCGGCTCGGCGCGGTCCCGTGCTGCCGGCTGCCGGAGGGGGAAAACACCCCTCGGAGTGACTGACGGACCGCTCCAGCCAATGAAGGACGTGTACAACAAAGTGACAAACGACCGGCCCAATCGCCAGGCAAGAAGCGGAGAGGGGCGGGGCGACTTGGCCTCCCTTTCTCTGATCGGCCCAAAGACGGACGGTGGCTGGAGATGAGCCAATCACAGGCCATGAGGGGTGTCAGCCTTCGGCCAATGGGAAGCTAGTCCCTAAGGGAGGTCTGTTGGGCGGGGTAGGTCTTCAGCCAATGAGAGATGAGGGGCGGGGTGGGAGGGTCCCGGGGCCGTAGGCTGCCGAGTCACGGCGGGGCTCCGCCTCCTCTCTGCGCCTCAGGCGCCGGCTCAGGGCCCGAGACCCGGTGTTTGGCTTCCCTCCCCGGGGCGCCCGGCGGAGCCCCCACCCCGGGCTCTGTCTCGTGTCCCTTTGTGCTGTGGAAACCGTGAGGAAGCCAATGGCTGCCCCCGGTCCCGAGGGAGGCCGCGAAAGCGGCCCCTGCCCTCCCTAAGGCTGCCTGGAGAAGGGGTCCCGGCGCACCCCGAGCCTCTCGTTGCCGCCCGGAGCTGGGCTGGGTGCCGTGCGCCCGCCAGGCCTCCCTGAGGGATAACGGGCCTCTGCGAACCAGGGTCCTGCGGTGCTGGGTGCAGTGCGCGGGGTGTGGGCCCCGATAGGGCATTAAACGGGCAGAGGGGACTGCACGGAAGGCTGCGGCTGCTGAGCTCAGTCGGTGGGGACGTGCTGTTGGTAGCGCAGCTCTAATGTGACAGTTGCTTTGTACTTCACCCGATCTGAGATCACCGAGTTTGGTTCTTCCTGTCTGGGGGAAAATTGAAGCTGGAAGTCCGAGCATCAGCGTTTACAGCGTGGCATGTAAGGGACACCACTGGGAGATGCATAGCCTTTGGTCTATCCCCTCAGGTGTTAACACTGTCAGGGGATTTGGTAGCAAGCGCCGTAAGAGCATACTGTGTTCATTTGACTGTGGCAAAATGATGGAAGGCATATGGGTCATTCCTGTCCTGATGTGAGCCTGAAGGGAATGAGTGCTGTGGGAGACTGATGAAGTCTGATGGGGTACATCACATTTATGAACCACACAAAGACACTGCATCAGCTCAATCCATTCCTAAACTGCTGTTTCAGCTGCTCTCGTGTCTGGAGAAAGCTCACCAGGTGCTCTGGTTCTATCTCAACCGCCCCGGAGATCCCACCAAAAGAATGATCAGGACTTCCGTGACACCAGGGCAGCACTTGGTGTGTCCAGCAAGCTCCTTGGAACGTTGCTTAGGAGCTCCTGAGAAGGGGGTAAAGATGATTAACGTTGGGTTTCATTAGGCCTAAGTAAAAGCAGGTAAAGCAATTTGATATTGCATGTGAGGAAGGTGCAGGCTATTGCCACAAATGTAAAGCTTTCACAGGTGGCTTGAAGACTCTTACTGTGCTGTCCAGCCTGGGTTTGCAGGAGGAATGCCCTAAAATACAAACTGACTGGAGTTCTTCTGCCTGTGTTTTTGTCTGGCACGTATTTCTGTCACCAGTAGGTGGCTTTCTGCCCATCTGTGTGCCCTGTTACTATCTCAAACCCCAGCGCACAAGCGCTCCATTTGAAATGGCCTCAGGCAGAAAGTCTGAGGCATAACTACAGTTATGAACAAAGAGGCTTCAGTTTACCAAAACCACAGTGAATCCTGAGAATAGTAATGTTCCTATTAAAATAGAGAAAAATATGTGTGAAATATATTAAAATATAAATACAATAAACATATAAAATATATAAAAAGAACATGGAATTGTTGGAACAAGTCCAGAGGAGGCCACGAGGATGCTCAGGGGCTGGAGCACCTCCTGTATGGAGATAGGCTGAGAAAGTTGGGGCTGTTCAGCCTGGAGAAGAGAAGCTGCGTGGAGACCTCAGAGCAGCTTCCAGTATCTGAAGGGGGCTACAAGGATGCTGGGGAGGGGCTCTTCATTAGGGACTGTAGTGACAGGACAAGGGGTAACGGGTTCAAACTGAAACAGGAAGTTTAGATTGGCTATAAGGAAGAAGTCCTTTACTGTGAGGGTGCTGAGGCACTGGAATGGGTTGCCCAGGGAGGTTGTGAATGCTCCATCCCTGGCAGTGTTCAAGGCCAGGCTGGACAGAGCCTTGGGTGACCTGGTTTAGTGTGAGATGTCCCTGCCCATGGCAGGGGGGTTGGAACTGGATGATCTTAAGGTGCTTTCCAACCCAAACCATTCTATGATTCTGTGATTCTATGATTCTATTACAGCTTCATAAATTGTCCTCAACAACCAAATGATCTTATCTAACAAATCATGATGTCTGTGCATAGGGATATACTGGACATAGTTAACTTCCACCATACAGCCCTGCTTGCTCTAGTGGCTCCTGGTTTAAAATAACAACTAAACGAAAGCTGTGCCTTACCAAAAGGCTCATAACCCATAAAGCAGTGGGTACCTTACGGCCACAATGCAGAAGTTGATACACTTCTGGATGAAGGCTGGGTTTGAATTAAAGAATCGGGAAGGTGCAGGTCTGTGGCTTGTTCTCAGTTTGGTTCTGAACGGTGACTTCCCAGCCGGGGGTTACCAAGAGCCTTCAGAGCGCTCCCGGTAGCTGGGTACAAGCAATGTGGAAAACAATTATGCATAAGTGCCAGGATTCTACTCTTATGAGTCAATGTTCTTCTTTGCTCACTGTTCAGTTGATTTGTGAGGCTCCACAGCAGCTGAAGTACTGCATGATGGTGTCCTGGAGCACTGCAGCAGTAACAGCTTGAGATGTCTGTGTTCACAAGGACTTCTTGAGTTCAGTCCATGTTGGCTGTGGTAAGTTTGGGCTCCTGTTGCGCCACAGATAAGGAAATGTTTGTTGCTGTTGCCTCTTGGCCTTTTTATCTCTCTCGAGTTTTTATTCCTGCCCCCCAAAACTTCCATTTCTATTGGTCTGAGGTTACTGGAACACTTTTATAGGCAAAATTATTGCTGTGTTTGTGCTTCATGTAGTCTGGTGCACAATGCCTTCCCGTTACCGCAACTTCCGAAACAGCGTGCCGTGGCTGATCCTTTCTCTGGAAGCTGTTTTCATCGTCCTCTTTTACTTTGTGTTCCCATATGATGATAAATTAATTAAGTCTTACCCAGGTAAGATGGGCAGCGTTGTTGTGAAAGGAAGAGTTAATGCCTACTTTTATTTTTTAGTGCCGTAGAGATGGGATCCAGCGGGTTTGTGTGTTTATCAGAAGTAAAATGGTTTACTGGCCTTTGAGTGCCCTACCTTGCTGTGTATGCTGTGTATTTATTATATCAAAGCAATGACATTGAATGAAGACCTAAGTGATACTAAATGGCATTGTTGGTCTGTTTTCTGCTGCCTGTTTGTGGACATCTTGACCCCTATGAATGCAACCAACTCCTTAGGGCAGGCACTGCTCTGTGTTAAGTTGGTGTGTGAAAGGGTTGTTGGGCTACAAAGTAAGAATTCAGGATGGCACTGGTCTCTATTTGAGTGCTTGATGTAAAGAAATGAACTTAATACAGTGGAATTAAGGATTTAAATATATTCTGGAGATGCATTTTGTGTATTGATCAAAGGAATGTATTAGCAGATTATGCTATGGTCATAGTGTATTTACAGTGTTGTGCAAATAAGAGCTGATTAATCCTCGTGACATTCTTGTGTTACCCTCCCTGTTTTATAGCTCAAAAAATACAGATCTGCTTCCTAGCAGCTTGATATTTTGCAGAAGGGACAGGCCAGTACAAGGATATGAGAATATGGCTGTTTGCATGTCCCAGGGGATGCTTTCAGATCTACCGAATCCAAGGGCTTGTTTCTTGGACAACTCTGCCTTCTATTCAGTGGTGCTGGTTTCCCTATTGAACTCTTTCTATGGCTATTTCTGTTCTTCTCCTCAGATGAGAACATCATATGGGTTTCTCTTTGTAACTCATTTCTTCCCTAGTGCCCTCAAGGAATGAATCAGCACTAATTCATGGTAACTCTCCCCGAAATGTCCAACTAAAGCTCTTTAAGTTCACCTGAAGAAAAATGAAAGCCCAGGTTTCATTGCTGAAAGTACTTCATTTCTGTTGTGCTTTTTGATCCCTCAGTCCCTTCCTTATTATCCATTCTGATCACTTTGTGAAAAATAAACTCAGGCTCAAGGAAATTGTTTTTTCTGATTACTTATGGATTGGAAGGGAAGTTCTGGAATTCTTTATTGAATAATAATGGCACCTGAGTTTTTATCTGAAGGCTTCTTAGTTAACTGTGATTTATTTTTAACCAGCAATCCAGTCTGAATTAATAACATCTCTGCTGGCTTGGTCCTTTCTGTCGTGCAGCTTTCCAAGATGTCAACCACATGATGATTTTTGGATTTGGCTTTTTCCTGATGTTTCTGAAAAGATACGGGTTTAGCACCACCGGATTCAACCTCCTGCTCATTGTACTTGGTGTCCAGTGCTCTGTGCTGATAGATTTATTCGTTTTACTTCTTCAAAGGCAAAGCAAATGTCATCTGGCAAGGTAATTAGGTCGTGTTAGAATTGCAATAATTTCAAGCACATTTGACTGTCATTCTTTCTGTATTGGTCCTGGTGTGGTCCTGTTAAAGAACTCTTTTGTTCTTTCTCTTATTGCAGGCTAATAGAGGCTGCTATGAGCATGACTGCTGTGGTCATCTCCACTGGAGCTGTTCTTGGGAAGGCTAACCCCGTGCAGTTAATTCTGATGACAGTTCTGGAGCTAATAGTTTTCCGTATGAGCAGATGGATGAACAACACATTCCTGCTGGTACTGTAATACAATTTCAGGCACATGAGGGAAAATTTCACTGGGATTTTAGCATGTTGCCTTTTGGTGGTTTGTTAGTGGAATTGTGTGTTTATGAGCTGCATTCAGTTCAGGTAACTTAATCTCACATAAATAGCTTGTGCATAAACTGAGGCACTGTGAAAATAAAGTGCTTACATAGGGAGGTTACATGAGCAACTCTATCAGGAATTGCATCAAAGTCTTCCTGTGGCCTGAAATAAACTACAGATTCATGGTCTAGGGTGAGGTATCCCTGCCCATCACAGGGGGTTTGGAACTATGTGATCTTAAGGTCCTTTCCAACCCAAATTATTCTATGATTCTTCTCTCGATACAGGTTACAGACAGTATCAGCATGATGCACGTTCACCTGTTTGGAGCCTACTTTGGTCTGGCCATCTCCTCATGTTTCTCTGAGCCATCACCGAGGACTGATAAGAATGCAAGAACCCCGAAGTCGGACTTATTGTCCATGTTGGGTAAGGCATTTGCTTTAATGTCTCACTAGGAACAAGAGATTGTGGTGGGACCATAAGGAAAGTTTTGGGGGGCTGGCCACAGCACACTGAGGCTTTTGTATCCAAAATGCACAGCTGAATGCAGCCAAGCATAGAAAACTGCTGCTGCTGCTGTGCTGATGGTTTCTGACAGTGCCTTGGTGAGTCTCACAATGTTTCCTACCAGGCACGCAACCACTCCTGCAAGGGCTGTGGCTTCATTTGCTTTGGTCAGGCTGAGCATAAAGGCTATGCCAGGTTATCCATTCCCTCTCCCAGCTAAGTTTGCCCCTTTGGGCTTGTTTAGGCATATTGGTAGGGACCTGTGCACCAAAATTGAGATCATTACTTGTGTTTCAGTAATGCTTACGGTTGCCAGCTGGGGACAAGGCTCAGTTTTGTTTTGCAAGGTGCTGTACAAAGATATAAAAATGCAGTCCCTGCCTAGTAGTGTAAATGAAAAGATAAAAGCCTGATGAAGGGTGGGAAAGACGATACAGACAGGCACAGGAGAAAGGATCAGAGTGAGGACAGGCTGAATGTATGGGAGTTACATTCCTTTTCTTAAAGAAGCAATTTGGTAACTGACACCAGTTGAACAAAAATCTTTCTGCAAAGGCCCATAGAATCTAATCCTAAGTTAGTCTTTGCCCAGTTAAAGAGAAATGTAAATGCTGCTGGTTTGAGTCCCTGGAGTTCTTGCTTTGCTGGAGAATTTGTGGAGACCGGTATTTTAATATAGCTTATCAAGACACTGTTAAACCTTTGTGATAATTTCAGTGCAGCTTGCTACAATCAAGTGCTTGCTTTGGGGTAATTATAATGCCATATCTCAAATAATTCCTGAGGTAACATGGGCAGACAGGAGCAGCTGAGCAGGCAAATTCCTCTTAGTTCCTTTTTGCATCCTGCTTCTGAGGGCCGTGTGCAGGGTGCTGAGGTCTTCACCCGTAGTTGGACTCACTCTGTGACTATTTTATTCCCAACCTGAGCAAATACTCTGCCTATGCACTTGGAGCTGGTTGGAGCTCGGTGGGCAGAGGCTCAGGTTGCCCTGTGTGGTCCAGCTTGACTTAGTGTGAGGCTACCTACTTCCCTCTGCTGGTTGGAATTTGATCTACGGGTGTGTATCTGCACATAGGAAAAGATGTATCCTGCCAAGCAGTGTGCTTCTTCTATAGAGGCCCAGATTCCTAAATGCTGACAGACAGGGCCCGGGGCAGAGAAGCAAAAGAACCTGTTTTCATTCCTGTTGTTAGTGAAGCCTACGTGGTCATGAAAGTGTGACACCGTGCAGTGATCTTATGGGAGGAAAGTGAACTGTTCTTTTGGACCTGCATACCAGGCAGTAGCTATTTGGTAGATAACCCTTTCACAGAGCACAAGAAAGTGAAGCTGTGAATGACAGGGCTGCTGAAGTGTGATCACCTCAGGTCAAGCTCTTGGTCTCTAACCCTTCTAGTAGAGGTAGAGACGATTCTGGTCTTACAACCCAGTTCATCCTCTCTCTTCAAAGCCTACCAGTTGTACTGGCAGCCAAGGTAAAAGACATTCCAAAGTGCACTTTGGGTTTCTTTATAGTGATTTGTACCATGTGAGCTGTTTTCCTTTGTGGCTTTCATTCTCTCTTGCAGCTGGTTTTGAACAGTTACCCACAGTTCCATGAAAAGAGGCAGAAACTTTGAAGGAGCAAGTCCCTGGTGCCTGTGCATAAAAGGCAGGATGCTGATCATTTGGAAATAAAAAACTGGAATTGTTCCTACTTGTATCTGAACCTGCATTTAAGGGGATGATAGATAGGGCAAAGCTGATGTTAAAGCTGTTCTTGAAAAGAGCATCCTACCTTCAGGCCAGTGAAGGACCAGCCAGATGCCAGCAGAGCTGTGCTTTGCCCTGTCTGTTTGACATTACAGTGGTGTGTTTCTTGGAAGGTGCTGGTACTGCAGGTAGCTCGTAGGGCTTTCTGCATTGTAAGGTGTTGTCCTTTGTTTAAACTGTGTGAGTTACAGAGGAAGCAGAATGTGGGCTGGAGCCCTTCAAAGACAGTGAGTACTTCATTCACTGTGGTTTAGAGCAGATAATGATATTTGCTTGTCTTTGTCTCCAAGGCACTCTCTTTCTCTGGGTGTTCTGGCCAAGCTTCAATTCTATACTATCCGACAGGAAGTGGAGAGTCATCTACAACACCTACTTTGGCCTTGCAGTGAGTGCTGTCACTGCCTTTGCCTTGTCTGCTCTCACCACAAAGGATGGGAAATTCAGAATGGTAAGAAATGGGAGAAAATCACTGCATGGAAAAGGGATTTTTCTGTGACTCTCAGTAATACATTAAAAGTATAATAGTCACTTGGTAAAACAAGTCCAGGTTTTCAGCCTGATAGTTATTAGCCTCCCAGGCAGAAGACTGAAGTTGCAACTTAGAAATTACTTCCTCAGATCACAATTCACAGTATACAGAGGCTGCTGTACACGAGGACTGAACTCTCACTCCATGTTTTTGTTCTTTGCTTTTACAGACTCATATCCACAGTGCAGTTCTAGCTGGGGGGGTCGCTGTTGGTTACGCAGCACACAGTATCAAGTACCCTTGGATTGCAATGGTTTTGGGTCTGCTTGCCGGCGTGATAGCCATATTAGGATCTTACTGTTCACAGGTAGTACTCAAACCCTGAAATTGTTTTTTGTATAAGCTATATAAACTTCTTTTCCAATGCAGGATACCTCAAGGGAAACCTCTTTTAACAAGATTAAAGCTGGGAGACCTGAGGCCTTTTGAGCACAGCGCAGGACTGCAACTTGCAAGACCAAAATTCATTTCCTAGCTCTGCAATAGACAATACACTATTATCAATTTCTGTTCTTGTGTATCAGTTAAATCTTTTCTTCTTCCCAGAGATGCCTGAATCCTCCTCTCAAGCTTCATGATACCTCTGGAGTTCATTTCACTTTTGGCATGCCTGCTGTGCTTGGAGCTCTCGCCCAGGTCATTCTCTTAATAATAACAAACTGGAATAATTTACCAAGGTACATAAATTCTTGCTATTAAGTAATAAACTTAGCTAATCATTACTGTAGTGTGCCCTGAGTTCTCATACATACAGAAGGTCATCACAGATCAATTGTTTTATATCAGATAACTTCAGATAATCTCTGAAGTCCAAAAAAGTCAGTAAAAAAAGACTTTGAGTGTTGAGTAGACTGGATCAAAACTTTCATGCTAGCTTTTGGTCCTGTTTTCTGTCTCCCTTTTTATTTGATGTTCAATACGGCAGATACAGGAGGTGAAGGCTGGGGATGTGTGTCCTTCCAAGTCTCAGTTTGGTTTTTGTAACATGTTTTGGGGAGCTTTGTATGCTAACATGAGGGGCAGAAATCAGCACTTCTCTGTGGACAAGGCTTGAACTCTGAGTCAGGGGCAAGAATGCCAGTTTGGACTAAAGCCAGTGTGGACACTGAGCTGGAAAACACACCTGGGGAGATCCGCTGCAAAACCTGAAGGCTCAGTTCAGGATATGCTCTGTAGGTGTTTTGATCTGGCACTGGCATTTCATTTCTGCAGATCAGCCCCACGGCATGTCCTGCAAGAAGTTCCCTGATTTTCTCAGTTTATGCAGAAAAGAACCACAGTGCAGCATAAGGGCCTTACGTGTTGTCCTTGAAAAAACAGACTTTATGACATTTTACTACCACAACAATGGTTTCTAAGGGCAAAATATGTCCCCTGAAATCTGTGTTAGGCTTTTGATAGGGTTTCTTAAAACACGTATCTGCAGCTGCAGAGAGATTCTGGAACAACAATTGTTATGGGAGGTTTTGATGTAAAATGCTGTGGAGATACAGATTAATTCACAGCCTTAATGATACATCAGTCAACTTCAAAAGGTGAAACACTTGTTTTGCTTTTCAGTATGGGTTATTTGGTCATGATTCAAGTTGGTGCCTTCTGCCTGACCATCAGCATCGCTTTGATAACAGGTCTTATTGCAGGTCAGTATTGAAAAAGGTGTTTTGGTACCTTCCTCATGTCCTTGGGGTAAGGGGTACGTCAACTTATGGTACCTGCTGTCATGCCAATGCAACACTCTGCAGAGAGAGGCCGAACTGGGGCTCTGAAGTGTGCTTCTATGGGTAAATTATTTGGAGAAGAACCAGGGACTTTTCAAAGCCCTGTATTCAAGATGTGTTCAGCACAAATAACCTACTAGTACCATTCCTTCATTGGCAACGCTTATTTTAACAGATGCTTAACAGCTGCCTTCACATTTCAGACAGGAGATGTGTGAGGATGGAACTATTTTTACATTTGGTTATCTGTGACACGAATGCTATCTAGTGCTTGCCACTTTTTTAGGCCAGTGGGCAGGAATCTGCCAGGTTCCCCAGTGTCCATAGCTGGCAGGCACCAGCCAAGCACAGGGCTGCGGTCATGAGTGGTTTGGGGTCACCAGGGCTCATGTGTTCCCCGTGTGACATCCTGGCAGCTGCAGTTTTTCTGTAGCTGTTGATTCTATCTTGAATAAAAGAGAAACGGCAGATGAAAACTGCTGTGAAACACACTCTACAATCATTTTGTGTGTGTGTTTTAATTCATCTCAAACCTTTGTGCTGCCACAAGTGTAATGAAGATGTTGAGCTCATCAAGCAGATTTCTAAAACACATTCAGCTAGAAGAATTTAAAATACGGTGTTTAATCAATTGTTTAGAAGTCCAAATGTTTCCATCTGAAATCCCAAGCTAGCAGTGCTGTGAGCCCCGCTGCTTTAAATACACAGGCATTTTTCATGCAAGACTAATTCTGGATGTATTTTTAGTCTGGCAAGCTGTTTAATGGGGTTTTACCTTGAGTAATTAATGTTTAATAACACAAGCCTTGATCCTGGCAAGCTTCTTTGTATTTAAGGTCAGCTTGAGTCAAGGGGCTCTGCTGAAGTGTTACTTGTGTTTGATCTATGTTACATTTGCACGTGGGTTACTAAGAAACCTCCACTTACAAAGAGTCATCCCCTTTCCCTGATGTATATATTCATAATGGATACATGTGTTTTTGCAAACAGGTTTAATCTTAAACCTCAGACTGTTCAAGAGCATCCCTGTATCCAAGTACTTTGAAGACCAGTTTTACTGGGAGGTAAGTTTCAATGTCACATGAACTGTGTGGGAGAACATAGAGCACCTTGGTGAAGAGCTCTGGGTATCTGAATTAAATTAAAATGAAAAAGAAAAGAAAATTCCATTTCAAAGTACATTTTGGAAGCCCCTCAGCCTTCCTGGGTGCAGGGTGGTGCTCAGCCTGATGCTCCAACACAGGCCTTGGGCACGTTCCAGTGCTGAAGGTGATGTTGTATCTGAATTACAGAAAAAAGACATGGATGAAAATAACCTTCTAATAAGGTTTTCCAATGCCTGTTTTGTATGATGATTTGGTACACAGAATGTTCTGATACAAGAATGTTTGTTTTCACAGTTTCCCCATTTGGCTGTTGGATTTTGAATGGAGGAACCCAGATGAGTGATTTGACCGAGGCTCAAGAAAGCCATCCCAATGGGCACCTAAAAACCTAGTAATAAACTGTACTAGTTATTCTTGAAAGATGGAGTGTGAATTTACAGACGCATTTAACTGCTTTGTTGAATTTAAGTATTTTTTGGTACAGAAAAAGTGGCTGCATTCATTGCTGTAATGGCTTATCAATCAAAATACTTGGAAACCTTACACTATTTTTAGCTCCCAAAGCCAAAGTAAGTATGTTAAAGTACAATTTTTCCAAGTGTCCATACTCACTCTTCTCTAGCGAAGCATTCAAGTACTTGTTTTTAAGCTAAATTAATTCTGTTGAAGGCCTTGTTAAGCAGGGATTTGATGAGCGAGCTGGATCAGGGCCAGAACTCTCTATCCTGCCAGACTGAACTCTTGAGTTATCTGACAGCTTAAAGAAAAATCTATAATCCCTTGGCTCAAGCTATCTATTTGGAAGCTCAGATGACAAGGAGTGAAACTGTTCTGCTTGTGGCTGGTGCCCTTGTCAGCAATGGTATTTACTCAGCTTGGCAGTAAAACTCAGCACAGCCTGTGCATATGGGGACAGTGCCTAAAAGGCTCTGGCTGCCCTGAGTGCAGGCAGCAGGGGAGGCCATGGGGACAGTGCTTGGGCCTGGGTGATACGAATCCCAGGGTGGTGTATGTTGGGCTGGTTTACCCTGTGCCAAGCTCAGGCCCAATGGGGCAAGTGAACCCTTGTGTTTAAATGGATTGTGATCCCTGGTGTGTCTTCTTTGTTCCAAAATAGCTGACACAGAAAAACTTACTCGAAAATGCTTGTCTAATAAAAGAAAATGACAATTTGATGGTTTGTTTGTCACAGTTAACATGCTATGCTACTGCCTGTGCCGCAGTGCAATCCAGGCTCAACTGGTGTCCTTCACTTCCCAGCAGCCAAACCAACAGCCGTGTTCTAGCAGGAATGCTGCTAAGGAATAGTAATTTATTCACCCTCTTTTCCCCACATCTCTTTCATCACTGATTTCTTAAGCAGCTACCCAGGTGAATGCACAGGAAGGGGCAGACAGAGGATCAGCATTCTCTCTGGCAGTGACTGTCCTCCCTGCCAAAGACAGAACTCTTCCTTTTCTCACAGTGGTTGTAAAACAGCTGACAGCAAGGTCTGTGGATGAGCTGCTTCCATCTAGAGCTGCTGCACAACTTGTACTTGTGCCTCTATGGCATCATCCACAGCAACAGTGAGTTGTTACTCACCACAGACTTCCCCATTACTGCCATAGCGTGTGGGGGGGAATTCCAAAGCAGCATAGTTCTGTATTACGCAAGAAAAGGCACACACCAGCAAATTTTGAAATGGAAAAAATGGTTATATTGTCCAAATATAGGAAATATTTAATAAATAGATGTTAAAAAGTTGTTTTAAAGCATTTTTAGTAAGTCTCAGATTGTAATTAATGTTGTAGAAACAGCTGGTTAAATACATCCATTTTCCACTACACTATTTACCTGTAGCAAACATGGTAGCACAAAAGTGACTTCTGCTGTGACATGCAGCAATTCTACATGTGTCAAAACCATTACATATTGCGATCAGCATACAAGAGTAAAAAATGAAACAGCACAGAACCAGGATTTTTAGTGCTATGATTTGAGTTTTGCTTGGTTTATCTTCAGACACAACTGAAGGTCACCCTTTACAAAATGGCTTTACAAAACATTGGGAATGTGCAGTTAAAAACCCAGGGTGCCCAATGCACTTCCACAGGTGTGTTCATTGCCACAAGTCTTCTGTGCGACCAAATTTGAAGACCAGTCCTCTGTTTAAAACAGAATAAAGGGACACGAGTACATCATGGAGCAAATCAAACACCTATGATGTTAAATACAAGATTTCAGGAAGCAAACTATGGTATTCGTAAATCCATTTCCTGGTCCTGCAATGAAACCTATGCAGACAGACCCCAGATATCTGCTGCCTTGATATGCAGTTTATTCACGTCTGGTTATGAAACAGGACTTGAGCAACCAGATTACAGCAAGTTTCTGTTTTTATCATTAAAAACAAATTAGATGAAACAAACAAAAAGAGATTGTCTTACCCAAAAAAGATGAATGCATTCTGGAAGAACACAGCTATTCCTGGGTACACGACTGGTTTTTCTATCAAAAGAAAGAAATCTCCATGTATGTCTCCAGAAAATCCTCTCCAATCTCTGTTCTCAGAAGACAACAATCAGCCCAACCCCACCAGAAAGTTAATTCAATGGCTTTTTGTGTCATCTCTCCCCCCCCAGTCATTTAGCTTTCCAAAGAGAAGAAATACGTCCTGTTCTCTAACCAAACATGTGCCTCTCATGCAGTGCTGATGCAGACTGCAGTTACCACACTGTGTTGCACATCCTGTTTGGAATGCGTTTGTGGGTCAGTATGTACACGTGTATGTTCACAGATAGTGACAGTGTACAAAAGGGGAGTGCACATTAGCACTGCTGTGCACCTTGGGCACTGGGCTTTCTTTGAAAATCCCCTGTGAATTGAGTAAGGCCAGAGCTGACAAGAGTGTGTATTAAACCAAAGCACTTCACTAGTGTGGAATTCACTGCAGCTTCAGGCACAGGCAGGGCTGGCTGTTACATGTACTCAAGTGACCCAACTTCCTTGCGAAAAACAAAGGCCAGTGCAGTGTTCTAAAATTCATCATCGTTTAAAATACCTTCAAACTTTCAAAACCAGATCAGGTCACATTCCACACCGCATCTTACCTTTAACAACGTAGCCTCCAAAAAGGATCCACATGGAAGCAATCAGAGATCCAAAAGCCATCATGAAACCAATGAACAGCCAGATCCGAGCACCTTGAAAACCACAGGAGGACGTTTTGTGTCTATGTCTGAGTCCAGACACTCCTGACTTTCAGGGTGCTTTGGTTTGGGAGCCACACAAGGAACAGCCCTCATGGCTCCTGCAAGGCTCTGTGGCTTCCCAGACCTGCCACTGCACAACAGCCCACAGCTCTGTACCTGTTTGTCCCAGGCAGCCTTCACTGTAACTGTCACCTCGCACTTGGCCATTAGATACCGCGTTGATCCTGCATGAGGAAAACAGGACCAAACTGGGTAAACATGGGTAAAACAAAAAGTGTCTTTACAAATAGGAAGCCTCTCAGAAACCTATAGAAAAAGGATAAAATCATAGAATCCTAGAATAGTTAGGGTTGGAAAGGACCTTAAGATCATCAAGTTCCAACCCCCCTGCCATGGGCAGGGACACCTCGCTCTAAACCGTATCACCCAAGGCCTTGTCCAACCTGGCCTTGAACACTGACAGGGATGGAGCATTCACAGCCTGGGTTGTGAATGCTCCATCCCTGGCAGTGTTCATGTACTTCTTAAGTATTTAAAGGTATAAGGCTAAAGTTTACTAGTTTTATTTAGCTCAAAATAGTAAAAAACATTTCTCCAAAACCTTGGACTTGTACTACATTTAACTTTTTAAACGGTCCTGTATTCTAAGTATCAATAGCTGTAAGCCAGATATAAGACACAGTAACCCCATGTGTTCCCTAATTAACTGCACAAAGCAAGTTGGAACGTTTAGCTCTCACCAAGATATTGCACTTACATTAGGAATGCCAGAGTGGCTATAACCCCACAAGCATGGTACGAATGGTTGAAGTCTTCCACTTCAGGGTACTTTACAGCTGCATCTATGATTATCCACCAACCTGTGAAAAACTGTTTCAAAAGAAGAAAGAGCACAATAACCTCAAATGTGCACACAAGTGTTTTAACGGCTCAGCTCTGCAAGGAGTAACATTAGTACAGAAAATCATTCATTTAGACCCCAACCCTGAGTCTGATGACAGCACAACCGGTTTTGCCATCGACTGAGGAACAAGGTTAAATGCAAAGCTGGAGATTTACGTGCTCCAGGAGCCACTAAGTGGATAGAAGGTGTGAAACTTAAGAGACAGATGCAAGCACCCAGAACAGGTTTTGTCATTAACGCTACACAGGAGGAGAACATATCCCTGTTCCTCCTTTTACCTCCAAAGGGATAACACTTCCTAGCTCACCCCCAGCTGATTGCTCCAAAGAGCCCAGCGCAGCCGCACGCACCAGCACTCCCGCAGCGACCGACGCGATCGTGTTCCGCTTCTCTCCCCAGTCAACGCACTCCGAGCACCTCAGGCTCTCCAGAAACCCCGACATCTTCCAGCGCTCGGAAGGGCTGCGGGAGGAAAAGGGACGTTTCCTTCGGCTCCGGGGCTGCGCGGGACGGGTCCGAACCGCCGAGAGCCCGCACCGGGGCCCGCTCCGAGGTGGGCGCTGGCAGCGCTTGGGCACCGGCACCCCGCCCGGGGAACTGGGGGGGAGGCGGTCCCGGGTTCGGTGCGCGGGTCCGGAGGGGACCCGGAGCTGCGCCCGGGGATGGGGCCCTGGCCCCGGTCCCGATTCCGGTCCCTCTCCCGCTCACCTACGCGCGGTCCCGGCCGTGGACGGCGCTTCCCCGGTCCGCCGCCAGCCAGCAGTGCGCATGCGCGGGACGCGCAGGCAGCGTCACGGGCGGGGCGGGGCCGCTCAGGCGCGGTGGGGCCGGCCCGTTACGTAAGCGCGGGGTCGGAACGTTCTGGAACACCTCAGGCGCTGCGGACTGAGCCTTTGGGTTGTGTCCCGGCCGTGCAGCCATGGGGGTGACTCGTGGAGTGGGGCTGTCTCCTCAGGCGTCGCCGCTCGAGCAGGACCCGTGCGCTGGGAGTCCGGGTGGTTGGAGCCGGTGAGGCGGCGGCGGCGGCGGTACCGAGCTCGCTTGGAGCGGGCCGGGGGGGTGGGGTGTCCCCCGTCGGGTGTCTCAGCGGCGCTGTCGGGGTCCACAAGCGTTATTTGCTTTCTTTTCCTCACAGAAGCAGTCTGGACCCCGCCGGGAACCAGGACCAGCGGAGCCCGGCGGCTCCCAGCGGTAGGTGCCCGTGAGCGGGTGGGGGGCGCTGGGGTGGTGTGCCCGGTATGTGCGCTGTGGGGAGCGCGGGTGTGCGGTCCCGTGTCTGATGCCAGGATTCATCGGGTGTTTCCTTTCAGCTGTGCCCTTTGTAGCACTTGTGACCTTGGTCCTGGCTTAGAAGCGAAGCTTTAGTAGTGGCGAAGGGGAATGCTTCCTACCGGCCCGTACACAGCCTACAGGGCAGGTTTCAGTAAGGGTTTATTCGGTAGCTTTGGCTTGCAGCGAGCACTTAATAGAAAACTTTAGGTAAAGCAAGCTGCCTTAAGCTGTGAATGGTGACATGACTCAGGGCTGTAGTCCTGGCGTAAGACAGCTCAGGTGGAGTGTAGCAGCCTCTGTAGCTATGAAATGGCTGCCGCTAGAGGGACAGCCATTTTAATTATTAATGTGTAACCTCCCCAAGGGTTACATCCAAAACCAGGGGCACATCCACTGTGGCGCTGCTTGGATTGCTCACTGGTTAAGTAGAATGGTTGCAATAGCAGCTCGCTTTGTGTAGTTTTGTAATGTGCAGTCACGGCCTTGGTGTGGCTGCTTTGTGCCTTGCAGGTGCTGATAAAGCTGCAGAATAAAGCTGTTCTGTTTGTACTGACCTGGAAGGCAAGTGGTTGTTTTTCATTGTAGATGCAATAGGCTGCATTTAGGATAGATTGAAGATACAGTACTTTGGAAATTCTGTTGGGAGAGGAGATAAAAGGTATGAACTTATACCTTTTCCACAAAAGACTTGTGCTAACTTAGCAAATGAAGGGTGTTAAAACCCACACAAACCAGCCTCAAAATTCCACACAGAACTACTCATGAGTTAAACTGAAGCTTTATTTCATTTCACATGAAAGACTGA